ATATTACTTGTGATATTAGTAAAACAAAACTTCAATCAAAAGCAAAGTTTTTAAAAGGAAAATGTTGGAATCTCTTCACTGCATCTCATCTAGCTCTTCTCAAAACTTTTTATATAATGGATCTCCTCTTAGGATACGACATTATCACGAACCATTTTCTCTATCAAATGCCAAGCAATCAAGCAAAAGAAAACCACAGGACACAATGTAGCTATGGAATTTGCAGCGAGTGACTTATTTTCTTTTCCTCTTGCATCCTGTAAACGTAATTATTCAAAAATGTCTCTGGATATCAGAGGCCATATATTCACCGGTCAAAAAAGCCATTTGCAGAGCCCAAATGGCCGGCTTCAGTACCTTATCTTTGCTTAAAAAATGGCAATAACAAAAACCCAAAACACAGACAAATCACAACCTCGTGAAAACAAGATGCAAGTCATTTTTGTCTCACTGTCTCGTTAATCTAGATCAGCTTCACATAGCATATGGAGGGGAAGGGGAAGGACAGACAAGGGACAATGCTGTTAGGTATTCATTAACAGTAGAAGTGATCATTGAGTACCATTTCTACTGAGATTTGAACACAAGTATATCTGGTTAGGAAAAAAGCAGTCAACCTGAACTGCACCAACATTCCCGTATACAATCTGGATCTTTCTTTAAACTGTGAAACACCGTCCCAGACCAAAGTAGTACTGCACTCCAGCTCATTCCCTAACAAAAAAGCTATAAATCAGCACAACAATGATGAATATCATATGCAAATTTAGGCTACTAGTTCCTCTCATTTTTCTATTGAGGTATTACAGGGGAAAAACCCCAAAGTCCTCCGTTATATCACCAACTTTACTAACACCACAGATGTTGCATGCAAAATTCGAGCGCGCTTGTTTTCAATGCTGCCTTCCTCACTTTATCTAGAGTATGTTACAAATCTGACAGTAAAAAAACTTTACACTGGTGTACACATAAACTGACTAAAAAAATCTTTTATTGACAAATTAATAATAACATCCTGTGAAATTCATATCTTCCCCTCTATCTCAAGATTCCTCTTAACATTGAAAAAATCTGCTTGACTAAGTTATGAAAGATGTCAAACACCTAAAATGAACTTAAAAATATCACAGGAAACTGAAATAATCTTTCAAAGTTATTAATTATTTAGCACTGTAAGTGCTTATGATTTATGCAGATTAAGAGCAAAGATGCAACAAGAACAAATGATTTAGCAAATAAGGAGAGACAGGCCATATGTCTTTGCATATTCTTCTCTGGAAACTCTTCCCTGTTCATAACACCACTCAGAAGCTGATAAGAAACAAGCCTGGGGGAACAGGACAGAGAATGAGAGAAGTACTTCATTAAAAAAACAAACAAACAAATAAAACCAAATCCATGCATTCCAGGTACGCAGAACTACAAAGAAAGCAGCACAGAGATAACAGAAAGGTGAGCCAGAAAGCAGAACCAGGCAGAGGGGCAAGAAAGAAGTAGGACTGCACCTGGCTCTATAAGATCAGGACCTTCTTTCAGTGCTAGAGAAAAGCAGTAGCCATTGAAACGGCAAACATATGCAGAGGACCTATAGAGTAAACTGCTGTGTAATAAACTGATCTTACTAGCAAACACCCTATTATCAGCTGCAGACAAATTTAAAAAAACAAACAAAACAAAAACATACACACACACACACAAACTCTTCCAGCTTTAGCACAAGAAAAGTAGCCCGCGCAACATCTGAGAATAATGCCATGAGTACTTCAATATTATTTGCCTCACTTCCTTTCTACTGGATACTGCAAAGAATCAGTTACTCAACATCTACCAAGTCTGAAATTTATATAACAGCTGGCTTAAGTTGAATTTAGATGTGACTTTTTTTTTTTTTTTTGACAATTAGATGGTGAATGTAGGTAAAGAGAGATAGGGGCAAGGGGAGAAAGAGAGTAGGAAGAAAAACCACTTAAGTCTCTTAACTGAGATAAGTATGGAACTTTAAGATGTGTCCAGAAATAATTCATTATGCTCATGAGCGTAAGGAACCAGACAGATACTTGTTTTTTTTCAAATTCCCTGGATGCAGCAATAGCCAAAAGTTCTTTTGTTTACACACACTAAATATGGAAATTGCAATTTTTATTTCAAATCTCTCTGATTTGGACATTTTTAGAATTATAAGCAAATATGTTCTCTTTAAAACAAGAGTATTTTACAGGACTTACTACAAAAGATGAAGCTGAACAACTGATTAATCTTTCCAGGAGGAAAGGCCTGCACTCATAACACTTTGAGTGTTAATAATACCAAAGAGACACCAAGATATCATAAAAGAAAGATAAAAACTGGCAAGGACACAACGTTTGCTCAGTACCAAGAAACATGATCAAAAGTATCAACACAATGCTGACACCAAATCCAGGTTATGTGGACAAACACGTCAAGAAGGAAGAGGAAGTTGGACTACATGCAGGATGTTGGACTAGGTGACCTCCGCTGGTCTCTTCCAACCTACTTGGAATTAAGAAAACTTCAGAGATCCACTTAAAAACTTAAGGAACATTTTTCAGTATTTATCCTTATAAAAGAGATGCTTCATGAGAGGTAAGCTTTAAGAATCCTAGTATTAGATGATTTCTTTACTTTACAAAAGGAAGACCTTGACAGTATCCCCCCCAATAGACTTAATCTTCCCAGAATTAAGAAAGTTGAACATGTCTTAAAGATTTGATTTTATCATTCCTTAAGAAAAAGCTCTACAAGTTGGCAAGAGAAGCCATTATAATTCCCCAGACACAAATTTATTATCATGAAAGCAGGTAATTTCTCTCAACTTCATGAACTGTATTCACAAAGGAAGGAAAGAATCTGACAAGAAGAAAAAGTTCACCAAAGAAGCCTTATTTCTATCTACAGATTTCTGCAGATCCACTAGGTTGACTATGACCTGAATCTGATGTACGTATTGGGACTTCAAAAACAGTACCATTAGAGAAGACAACATTTGACTGTACAAAACTATGGCATACGGCCTCAATAAGCATTCAGAGAACAATTTCCAAAAGCAGTTCTCCAAGCACCTTCTTCCACATGTGGCAGGTCACCACTTCAATACAGTGACACATGAAAGCACAGAAGTAAAACACATTTAGATGACACTACCCGCATAATCTAGAATTATAAAACTTTGAAGTTGACGTGGTTGCACACTTTTCTGTCCCTCAGATCACTTAAAAACAACTTGGCTCATTACTGACTGCAGACTAATAAAATTGATCCCCCAGTCAGGCGAGTATACAGGCAAGCCTGATACGAAGCCAATTTAAATATAACTGGAATCCTGAATTTTTTAATTTTTTTTATTTGTCCTTTTACCAGTTCCCATCCCAAATAACAAAGCAGGGAGACCACTACATACATCTGTAATGAATCATTGCTGAGACCCTATAATTGCACTCTACAACAGGATCCCTTGATTTTTTGCAGTTTTTTAGTGCTTTAAGCCAAAATTTCAAGTAATTCCAAAACTGTGATCTTTGAGTTGAATATGGAACTGACACCAAAGAGTTCTATTATTTGCTGCATATTTCTGTGCTGTCAATAGGAAGTTGAAGTTACTGTAGAAGAAGGAACAGAAGTATGATAGAGCTTCAGACACACAAGAAAACACAGAATATAATTTGGGTTTTGGCATTCAACAGGAAAAGCATCCCTTCTGAATGACCTAGCTGTGGCAGAAGACAGGCAGAAGATTTGAACTAGTGTGGAGAGGTGTACTTCTGTTTATTTCCTTGTGTACTAGCAGTTCTTAACAATTTTTCCTCTTCCTTCATAATGGGATCTAATACTGACTGATAAGAGCATTAATGCTCTCTGTGAGTGAATCAAATAGCTGGTGAACAAATGGCATCTTAGTTAAAATGGTTACGTTTTAGAGCTGCCCGGATATTGCCAAACCGGAACGCATTTTTTAAGGGTGCCAGTACTATTTCTTAAGTCTGATGTTCCTATTTCTGAAGACTATCTTCTCAAGAGAACTAGTAACAAACAGCTTCTGCACTACTCCACAGAAGAATTTAATAGATACACCAGTACTCATGGCAACAAAACATAGCATACTTTCATTTATTCTGGTTTTCTTGCATAGTGAAGATAGCATATTTCTTTGAAAAAACAAAGTATAATACAAGCCAAAATAAATATTGTCCTAAGAACCAGTAGATTAAGAATACTGGTAGCAATAGGATGCAAGAAGGTCTCTGACTATATCCATAAATCCACCCTTTCAGGGATACATTCAATATTCAACTTCTTAAGAGCCTAAAAGAAGTGAGCATTCAACTTTTTATTATGCCTTACATTCTGACCAATTCTCTTTTGTTTTGAGCTTGTAAGGCTTCTAAAAATTGTTTCCTACACAGAAAATACATCTGTACAGGGACCTGTTAAATTTCAAAACAGATTGACTACAAATTATATCCCCTTAGCAAGTATTTTGTTAGTCTAACCTCTTAAATATTTGTTACATTTCACATGCTTAAAGAAAAATCATAAATACTTCAAGTGACTTTTTATTAACTGATTTAGAGATGTTCTTCTGTAAGATCATACCTGTGTAAACAAACTGATGATAAGAACATACATATGAACAGCATTTAAAAGTCAAACTACTACCTTAGATGTAATGGAAGGTTTGCTTTAAGTATGCATCTTGATGACATCAGGGCTGGAACAGCAGTATCCTCAAGAACGCTAAATAAGAAGGTTGTTTTCAATGCAGAAAAACGTGCAATGAATTCCTCGTTTGCTTTAAAATATTGATATAAAGTTGTGGTAACGCCGCACTCTTAAAAACAATTCTTAGGGTCATGACCAGAGAAGTGGTTCAAAAACGTGTATGGCAGAGCTTGTTTTTAGAATGTTTTTATGTAGCAAAGTTCCTAGCCTAATTTAAAGCTTTCGTTTTTCTAATTATGATGAAACATCAGTTAAGAGCCTACCTGATGTTTTGGAGAATTTGCTGTGCTGGGATTGATATTCCGCAATGCCTAAGAGTAAAAAATAAGATGGATAAAAATTACTTTAGCTGCATAGTTTGGCTGTGCAGGCTGTCTTATAAATACCATCTTGTACTATCAAGTCCCCAAGACAGGCCAGATGAGAGAGGATAAGGGAGTTGAGAGACTACGAAAATCACGAAACAATGAAACAAAACTCACAGATTTACTAAGGATGCTTACTGACAGAAAAGCTTAACGGCCAGGGAGAATAACATGAAGGGAACTGGCTGTCACCTTGTCCAAAGTTAGTCAGCTTTCTCAATAAAAATTGAGGCAAGAAGAAAATTAGAAGGCCTACCTAGAAGCAGGCTAGCACAGGGTAAAACATTTGTTGGTGGATTAATAGCAAAGCAGGAATAGCAGAAGCCCAGGTGCTTAAGCAGAGAGGGAAAGTCCTGATGCCGTTTTTGCAATGTATTTTTAACTGGAGTACTATAGAAAGTACTGGGCTTTAAAGATGACCCACCTATACGAAGAGATGCTAAAGATTCCTGCAACACAGACCTTGAGTACAAAAGGGATAACGGGAGCCAGATTCCAGGACAGAATACTGCAGGCGATGAAGAAAGAGAAAAGCTATCTTTGAGGATGTTTCCTCTCCTGATACAAGGCCCATCACCCAAAATGAAAAGGGAACAGGGTAAGATTTTAGAAGGTTTTCTCAAAGAGAAGATTAGTGCTTTCTCTGGCAGTGTCAAAAAACAAAGACTATCCTAAGTATCTAGCACAGATGGCAATAACCTCTCCTAAAACATTCAGATGGAAAAACTGAAGCAGAAAGTTTAATAGTCAAAAGGAAGTCAGAGCTGGAACTGAAAATCCGGAAATCCCAATGTCCAGCCCTACACTCTGACACTTGCTATGCCTATATTCATGTACTAGAAAAATTCTAAAAGAAATAGTTTACAGCCTAATTAGGAAGTTTGAAATTCCTCATCATAAGAAAACCACAGGTTCAATATCCAGCATGATTCAGTTGTTCCATACTCCACTCCACTGTTTAACAGATGAGATTTTAGCAACAAGGTGTCTCCTCAACGCACCACATATAAACTTGAGAAGTACTTTGGAATCCTACAGACTGTGACACATTCTAAAAGTGAAAGACTTCCCTCCACTTAAAAGGCAGAACTAAAGCAGCTGTGGGAACCAAACTTTCTGCCTTTTTGCATGACTCAGAACTCAGTGAATCTTAGATATATTCTCAAGAGAAATCTCCAATCAGATCAAGAGTCCATGATGTCATCCTACCAGTAAAGAAGCCTGCTCTTTGAGAGTTTTGTTAGAGAGGAATGAGGGAGGAAAGCAAAACCCTTCTGTCTGGTAAGACACTTTCATTACCAAGCTGATACCAGTAACAAAAAAAAATTTAGACTTTTTCAGACTTCAAAGCTTTTTGTACAGTCACCAGTTCTTAATACTCACTGAAACAACTTAGCCAAAAAAAAAAAAAAAAAAGTGGAAGTAGGTGTCTAACCTGTGGCCTCACCTGCCGAAGCAGTTCTTGATGCTTCAGTCTCAGCCTTTCCTTCTCCATCTGCAGCTGCTGAAGTCTCATCTGTTGCTGCTGATTGGAGCTACTCCCACCCATCACGCCACCTTGAGGACTCTGAGGAGCCAGAGGGGGTGGCTGTTTCACTGGAGCACTTTGGCTGATTCGCTGATTCATGGCTAAGGAACCAAAACAATAAACATTTTAAAATGAAATTCAAGCAAATACTTATAAGGAAAGTATTATCCTTAGACAGTGTATATTAAAAATGTTACAACACGTTACAAGCCATGACAGCACAAAACATGCAGCTATGCACTGATGTGAAACGTTATGCTCATGATCAATGCAACATTCTCATGTTTAAGGGCATGTGTTTGTACTGAAAACTTCCGAAAACAGAACCGCACTTGTAAGACAGTAAAAAAAAAATCCAAAATGGTGGTAAAATGTTTCAAGTTTAATTAGAATGATTAATTCTCTCTTCTTTCTCTTCTTTTTAATGTACTATTCTTGATTTTGACACAAAAAATAAAAATTCACTTTTCTTATTCAGGTGAAATCTTAGTATCACTAAACTCTAACACAATGAATGACAAAATAGATAGTCTCATTTATATGAGACTACACCCAGCTACATTTGGTTACAGGCTACCACTCCTCCATCTGTGATGCAGGTCATGCAACAATCATTCACAAGTTTTCACATCAAGTTTTGAGTGTTGCAACAAACTCAATTTGGAGCATCTTGAGATGAAAAACTAGGGCTGGTACAGAAGTGGTAGACGAACTATATGGCTAGAAATACCACCACAACATAGGATACACATTTTGCTGATGCTTTTTCCCTGTCCTCTTTCCCACAAGGTATGCAATGCATCTTTTCTGGGCTGGAGAGAAAAGGTGTCTTCCTACATAACTAACGCATAGTAAGAATCCATCTTCCCTTCTCCATGAAAGCAGGATCTAAGCTAAATTTTATTTTATACAATAATGTATGACTGGGACCTATCTACTTGATAGTCCTGATTTTTCCCCCACAAGAGACCAGTATGGTTAAAGTAAACCGAGGCCCTGGAGTTCCTGTAGTGGAAAGGCTGAATACTGAAGGACACTATTTTCAGGGGCTTTCAATTTTAGAATTAGCTCTACTCTGTCCTCTGGAACAGCCTGAATCTGCTAACATTCAGAATATGTTGCAAAACACGTTTGCTGGCGCAGTAATAGGAGAGTGGTAGGGAATTTTTTTTTTTCCCTGGGAATGAGGATTATGGTTTATGGGAACTAAGAGGAAAGGGAATGAGCTTCTTTTAGGAAGATGGGCTGTTCTGGTGTAAAGAAAACCCATCTGTTTTCTTAGTCTGAATGAATTCATCATATAATAAGATTCCTAGAACACAAACACTTTTAATTAACGCAAGAAAGAAGCACGATCTTATAAAGAATCCGTATCTCCCTTTTCTCTTCAACTCAACTGTGTTCTGTGTGCTCAACTAACAGCCTATAAAGTACAGAAGTGCCTTTCTTTTGCTCCAAAAAATTCTACATAATCATCTCATAAAAGTAGTAAAAAGGGCTTTTGCCTCACAGTCTTGCTTCCTTTCCCTAGCCACAACTGTTCACCAGTTCATCTTTCCATTGAGAAGTAACATACGAAGAAGAAATACTGTATTACTTGCTGGAGTGAGAACGGGAAAAAAAAAATCCCCATCGAGAACAGTGACAGACTTAACTCTCCAGCTTACTCTTTCAACCGTTCCATAGATCAAGCAGAGCCAACAGTCTAATCTAAAGGTGGTCCTATTTTTATGGGTATAGAGTCAAAAGCAATGAAGTGTCATATGCTTGAAGTAATTTGAAATGATATTTTATTTTTTATGTAGTTACTTCTCAGAACTTCATACATATCACAACAAAACAAGGATAAAACTTCCTGTAAAGGCAGATGAACAGACAAAGTGGGAGCAGAAAAAGGATCCCAGCGCCAAATAGAAGCAACAGAGCGAATACAGGAAGGAACTCCCATCCTGACAGAGAAACCAAAAGAAAGCGTGAATAAAGCTTAAAATCAAGCAGTTGTTCTTACAAGACATCCAACACTTCCTCATCAAAACTGTACTTCAGGAAGAAGGTGATCAGGATCAATCAACTAACCAGCTTTCCAACATGAACTACAATCCCTAGGGCAGCAACAGCAAGAGGCAGGACAGCTTTTTCCTCTAAGAACAGGACACAAGCTTTATAAGGCCCAAGTTATCAGAAACTGCTAAACACGTTTCAACAGTACCAACAGTTGCCTTGCAAGGACATGAGCAGTGAACAGTAAAACAAGGAGCTCTACTGGGCAACATCTGCTGGAAGACTAATGTCAGTTAGACTATCTACATTTACCAACTTAGGACAAAGTTGAAGGTGGAGAGAGCAGTGCAAAAGAAAGGCAACCTACCCAGGAGCTCTCATGAGATAGACCCAACACTGCTGGGGTGGGAAATGTATCTCCTCCTTTCTTCCTTTCTACCAAGTCTGGAATCAGGACCTTTTCTTTTGCTTTTTGCATCCTATCCTCCTTTCACCTTGAAGGCAGAAAATGAGAGCAGCCTTGGCTGCAGTGACCATGAGATGGTGGAGTTCAGGCTCCTATGAGGAGGGAGCAGGGCAATAAGGAGGATCACAACCCTGGACTTCAGGAGAGCTAACTTTCAGAGCCTCGTCAGGGACCTACTTGGAGGAATCTCATGGGGTAGGGCCCTAGAAGGAAGGGGAAGGTCCAGGAGAGCTGGTTAATATCCAAGCATCACCTCCTCCAGGCTCAAGATTGGTGCATCTCTATGAGTAAGAAGACCAGCAAAGCAGGCAGGAGA